TTTATGTTTCTTTATTTGCTTTCATTTTGTTTTACTTTCATTTTGAAACTGACATCCGTTGTTCGTACAACGCACACGTGAAGTACTAGTTTACTCTAAAAGAAACAAACAATATGTTTTGTTTGTCTCGAATTTCATCGTTCAATTTGTATCTCATAAAATAGACAAAACTTAATGGCTCAGATTGGAAGAAAACAAGTTATTGTACCAAATCCCACAATTATTGAATCCATTTTCCAAACCACTCGTGTTTCAAGTCGCTTACCGGGTACGGATCCGTATTATGGGGTACGGATCCGGATTTTTTCCATTTTTGGCCTTGTATATGATTGATTGTTTAAACCTTAATTGCGTTGAATCCAATATTTAAAATGATCCAATTTAATGAGCTCAAGCCCTGAAGTTTGAGGGATTCAGAGTGTGGTAAAATATTTCATTCATGAGCATTGAGTAATTATAATAATATATGTTTTATTATAAATAAAAAATAAAATAAAATAAATCATTAGCACTTTATAAATTGAAATGATATGGACATTGTAATATTTACTAGATTGCAGTTGTTTTCATTCTTATTAACTTTCCACTCTTTTAAAATCCTTCAATCCTAGAATTCTCTCAACCTCTTTCAATCCACGAATTCTCACAACGCTAATTTCGACATGAACGACGAGATAATTGAGGTAAATTTAATGTTTTTGTGATAATAATTTCACTTATTATCCTGAGATTTATTTATATTTTGTTATTTGGGTATGTATATTTCAAAATGGGAACGAACAAAATTTTGGACAGAAGTTTGACAAGAATAATGTAGTCGAGACAAGAACTCGGTTCTTTCTCCTTAAGACAAATTTGCCCCGCGCAGTGCTTTCGGTTTACGGCAATTGTCTCCAAGATACAACGACTATTTCAGTTCCAACAAAGTAGCACACCAATTATTGGAACACGGCGAACAAAACGACGTTTAGGACTTTATAAGACACGAAGAAATGGACTTGATAATTGCAACAATATGCAACGAGATGCTATGATGAGAAGTGAATTCAATTAATATATTGATATACCTAACTGGGCCAGCCCAATGGGCTTACAATTTATTTACCTACTGGGCCACGAGCCCAATATTGAAGACCACTATCACCGAGGCCAAATCACCTTCAAATAAGGTTTGGGCCCAACAATCTCATCTAAGGTAAAAATAACGATATAACTCATTTATTAAAGGTACGCGCTATTATCTAAATAATACTATGAGTCATATTCTTTCAACTATTTCTACTATCCGCGTCTGACTTGAGCGTCGGAGGGGTTTCCGCCGAATCAACCCCGGCCTAGTTCACGTGTTCTATGATCAAAGGTATCTCAAGGTCATCAAGCACGTGAGCCAGTGATCCACTCTGCTCTTCCAGCTCATCCTACTTCAACTATCTAAGGTGATCTATCTCTAGCATCATCATTTTGGCGCCGTCCGTTGGAAGGCATACATAATCAAGTAGCATGCATGATGGCCTTGGAACATCTGCTCAGGGGAGTGTGACACTGCTAACAACCTCCCACCTCGTGGAGGCTCTGGCTTGCCAATTCCTCCTCCTCGTGCTCGGGATCCACCACGAGACTTTCCTCGGGTGTCCCACTAGATCGTCAACAATACCATCTTCTACTTGCTCCTCGAACTGTTCAGATAATCGATAAGGATCTTCAGCAAATGACCGCGGAAAGCTTCAACTCGTGCTGCCACTAAAGCAGTGGCACAACTCGTGAGCATCCACCTCATACCATAGGTCTCGAATGTAACAACCCACCCCAAGGTTGGGCATCTCATCCCAAGGGTTCGTGATCGCCTCATCCTAAGTTTAGGGGTTATCCCACCCTTGGTTGGGCATCTCATCCCAATGGTTCGTGATTGCTTCATCCTAAGTTGGGGGTTATCCCACCCTTGGTTGGGCATCTCATCCTAAGTTTGGGGTTATCCCAACCCAATGTTGGACATCTCATCCCAAGGGTTCGTGATCGCCTCATCCTAAGTTGGGGGCTATCCCACCCTAAGGTTGGGCATCTCATCCCAACGGTTCGTGATCGCCTCATACTAAGTTGGGGGCTATCCCACCCTAAGGTTGGGCCTCTCATCCCAATGGTTGGAAATCACCCTTATTTTTCAACCCCAACAGGGTTTACATCCCATCTAAAGAGATGGATATGGTCTCCATACCCAAAAAATAGAACATCCCCAGGGGGTGAACATCAACCACCTAAATATATATATATATATATATATATATATATATATATATATATATATAGGGGTGGGCATTCGGGTCGGGTCGGGTTATTCGGGTCGGGTTATTCGGGTTTTTTGCAAAAAAAAAAATTACCCGAACCCGACCCGAGATAACCGGGTACCCGGCAACCCGGGTACCCGGTTATTTCGGGTCGGGTTCGGGTCGGGTTCGGGTTTTGCTATTTTCCTCTTTTTCTTTTTTTTTTTTTTTTTTTTTTGTTTTTTAAGGTATACATATATATACAGACATATATATATAGCGATATACATATGCAACATATGCATATACTGATATACATATATATATTATATATATATATATATATATATATATATATATATATATATATATATATATATATATATATATATATATAGATAGATGCATATACTGATATACATATATATATTTATATATATATATATATACATATACATATACATATACTGATATACATATATATATATATACACACACACAGACATATACATATATATACATACAAATATAGACATATATATATATAGTATGTATTACAGACATATATATATATATATAAAAAAAAAAAAAAAATTTTTTTTTTTTTAAACCGGGTACCCGATCGGGTACCCGGGTAGAATTTCTATTACCCGGACCCGACCCGGTTTGGGATCACCGGGTACCCGAACCCGGGAAAAACCCGGCTATGTAAAAAATTACCCGATACCCGACCCGAATGCCCACCCCTATATATATATAGAGAGAGAGAGAGAGAGGACCGCGTGCATAGTACACGCGCGTGACTGCCATGAGCCCAAAAGGCTGCGAGCGCGGACATCAAAAAAAAAAAAGAAAAAAAGAAAAAAAAAAGAAAAGGAAGGGAACAGAGCAGCACGTGCCTATACCCATCACTCTCTCTCCTGCATTACTTGCGCGCCTCCCCATGAAGTCTTCACAGCTCCTCTCTCTCTCCTTGCATTTAATGCGCGCTCCTTCCCAAGGCTGACACCGCGCGTTCTAATGCACGCGCGACCCTAATCGCGCACGTTCTTCCATGTGCGCCGCCTCCTATCCTCGGAGCGCGCGCAACTTTCACTATTCTCCACTAAATCGCGCGTAGATTTTGATGTGCTTCGCCGAATCGCGCAAAAAATTTAACGCGCTTTACCAAATCGCGCGCTCTCTCCAACATGACTCACCAAATCGCTCGCCCTCCCAAATGGATAAATACAAAATATTATTTCTATACGCCACGCCAACGATTAATGGAACACTACAACACCAATCTACCCTCGACACGATTCGGTTCTTTTTCGACTTGACTCCCGCATCGAATCGAGCGTGGGGGGCTTGCGAGACAACTCCCACGAGGAGCCAACTAGCTCGGTCCTACAATCCGTTGCGAGGCAACTCCCACGAGGAGCCAACTCCCTCGGTACTACAAACCCGTAGCGGGACAACTCCCACGAGGAGCCAACTAGCTCGGTCCTACAACCCGTTGCGAGGCAACTCCCACGAGGAGCCAACTCGCTCGGCACTACAAATTCGTAACAAGGGGCACGATCCCTCGAGGAGCCACCTCGCTTGGTAATAAGACTCGCCGCGAGACAATTCTAACGAGGAGACAACTCGCTCAAAACGACCTCAATCTGCACGCTCCTCAGTCTCGCGTCATCCAACGCTCCTACAACTTCGCTGCGAGACAACTCTCTTGAGGAGACAACTCACTCGCAATTCACTACACAATCACAAGCTCAAGTTAGCACGATTACAACCTTAGAAACACTTAGAGATATTATGAGAATCTATATAGCCTGGCCAGCTTGATTACTCAAATTTCTCTACTTGTTTTTTACGGGTCCATCATTAAAACGTGGCCACGGTCCCAAACATACTTACGACCCACGAGGTCTAACAAGGGGCACGATCCCCATAAAAAAAATCTTGAGAGCCTGATCCACTCATCAAGTACATCACGCACAAGGCTATATGCAAACACATACAAGCAACGCGTCAAACCATTGACAACATCAATAAATAACAACTCCCACGAGGAGATAACAACACCGACGACTCAAGTAACTTACATCGCGACAACTTGGTCGCGCTACGCGCCAACACACTTTCACGCCCCTCCGACACACGCTCCAACGCGTTTTCGCACACCATCAGGTCGTACGCCAACGAGCAACTACTACAATTTTTACTCTCGACACGATTTGTCACCCATTTCAACATGGCCCCCACATCGACTCGAGAGTGGGGGGCTTAATGATATGCCTAATTGGACCACCCTAATGGGCTTACAATTTATTTACCTATTGGCCCACGAGCCCAATATTGAAGACCACTATCACCGATGCCCAATCACCTTCAAATAAGGTTTGAGCCCAACAATCTCATCTATGGTATAAATAACGATATAACTCATTTATTAAAGGTACGCCCTATTATCTAAATAATACTATAAGTCATTTCTCTCAACTATTTCTACTATCCGCACGTCTGACTTGAGCGTCGGAGGGGTTTCCGCCGGATCAACCCCCGGCCTAGTTCACGTGTTCTATGATCGCAGGTATCTCAAGGTCATCAAGCTCGTGAGCCAGTGATCCACTCTGCTCTTCCAACTCATCCTACATCAACTATCTAAGGTGGTCTATCTCTAGCATCATCACGTATTAAAGAATAATAATACTTTATTTAATTCAATAATCCATTATCCGATTTAAACATCGTTATTTATGCTGAAAATCATTTATATTCAGAGCATAAATATTCATATGATGTAATCACGTATTATAACATAATTTCCAATTCATAAAATTATACTTCAACAAACATATATTATATTAGACACGGCCATGGGCCGGTTCACTCCGGTTCGCGGTTCACTTTTTGCGGAACCGGAACCTACCCGTACTTCACACAGTTCAGCGGGCCTGGCCGGCCCGTCGGTTCACTCCGATTTCGGGCCTATCCGGGCCGGTTCCGGGTCGGCCCGGAAATTTATACATATATATATATATATTATATATATATATATATATATATATATATGTATATATATATATATATATATATACATATATATATATATATATATATATATATATATATATATATATATATATATATATATATATATTGTGGATGTGAAGATGCAAAAAGTGAACCGCGAACCGGAGTGAACCGGCCCATGGCCGTGTCTAATATAATATATGTTTGTTGAAGTATAATTTTATGAATTAGTATTTGATGGAAAA